GTAATTAAACAGGCTGTTTTTGTTACTGTGCCTTTAAGACCGATGCATGCAAATGACCTCTTTTGTGATTGGCTGCCCTGTACTGTGCCTGGTTCAAAGAACAGTCTGGGGTGAAACACTTCTTATGACTCCAGCGTGAAAAGCTAGTACTGCTGTATGTAAATGGATTGGGATTTGTGACATCACAAAAAGTGAACTTTTCTGCAGCTGTCAACATGTGAAACGTGTGGACTGGGAAGTGCATGTTATGTTTAGCCTCTTTAACTCCTTGGAACCACCAGCGGTTCTAAAGCGCTCTTAATCATATTCTTTACTGCATGACTTTCATATTTCGTAAGCTACACTCTAAAGGTGGGGGTCGTATGAGAGCTCTAACTGTCTTCTTTCCAGGCAAATAGATGGTGATGTAATTTTAAAACTTTATAATAAAAGAAGCTGAACTATTTTTTTTCTACTAAAATTTGACTTATTTTTCCACAAATCTGAGCAAGAAACTGGATCTCAGATGGCGTATCTTCAGTGATCTGCTCTGTAAAGATTATTTTTTTAAAATAATACAAAGAGCGTCTAAGATTTTTGGCTTCCAGCAGTAAATTGTAAGCATATAACAATATGTGTACATCATAAAACACATGTTCTGTTCATTTGAGGGGAACTTTTACCAAAACACCTTACGATTTGGGCATGTAAATTCAGATGGACAAACCGAATAATACCCACGAGCATAAGAGGTTAGACACTAAATGTTGACAAACTATGTCAAACTAAGAAAAAAGACAAACGGGTCCTTTAATGCAGTGTTATTGTTTAAGTGAGTAATGTCTGATTACAAGCCGAACGAAACCTACTTATTTAGTTTCACTGACCAGCAGACACTGTAATCTCAGACCTGTTTGGTAGCTCATCTTTGTTTTGGTTGTATTTCAGTCAACAACTAAATGACTGTTATTCACTTCTGACTGTTTCTGTTAAAGGGTCCATATCATAGAATATTTAAATAAAGAAGGGGGGAAATTAAGAGTTTGACATGGTGTATTTAAACACTGTTAAAGTTTCAAAAGGTCCCAATTCCTCAGTCCGTACAGTCGATGTCTATACGACTCGTTCTGAATTCAGTTTGTGTGACGTCACTTACTTGTTTACACATCGGCCTATTCTGCCTAGTGCCTCCTAGTTCAGCCCCGCCCACTTTCACTGAAGACATGGCAGCCAATCTGAAGAGCTTATCACTTACATTAGTTTTAAAGGCATAATAACAAAAGCCTGTATAATCCTAAGAGATAAAACGAGGTTGGAAAAGGAATTACGACTGTTTTTAGTACATAAAAAGCATGTTTTAAGGGGATTTAAAAAAAAATAATAAAATACAAGAAAAATGTAGTGTATGGGCCCTTTAATAGATTAACATAGATAACATTAGGAGGTGTAAGAATATAAAATGATCAAAATGCCGCAAAATTACAACTTTTATTAATAAAACTGGAAAAAAACTAACCTGGCGCTCGTCTAACGCAGTCACTCCTTCCAGAACGTAAGGCTAAGATTCATTTTCACGCAGACTACTCCTTTTAAAAAATGGGAAATTCACCCATCAGGAACTGAGAGTATTTGGAGAAGTGCAGAAATCGCGTGCTGAAGCTTGACTGATGTCAGGCTTCGATGAGTAATCAGATGTAACAGGTTTAGTCGGGAAAAACTTGAACAATACATGCAAAAATAAAAAGGATGGAACATTTGCACTAATCCGGCTGAACGTAAAACAGGAAACGACTGCACGTTCCAACTCGGCTGACTGGCTTTAATAAACACGCATAAACTGTGCTGCAGCTTTTCAGGCCGAGTTCAGATGAAAAATGTCAGGCTGGCGGACGAGGCCCGAGCGTAGCAGCGCTGTGGTTTACACATCCTCTCTGATATAAACATCAGGCTGGCAGGTCAGTCTGCAGAGCTTTCAGGCCGACTTCATGCTGCGTTTCTGTGAAAGCTCTTTCAGTCGTGGGGGGACAAACAAGGCAGCGAGTGTCACCCAAACAACCACGTCTGCAGCATCACGCTGGATACTCGCTCACATTACAGCGCTGGAGCCTGTGCAACTTGGTTTTAGTATAGAAAATAACGCTAGTATTAAAGACATAGTTCAGTGAAAACACACACATTTGCATTATTTTCCTTCTTATCCCAAACGTAGTCTGAAGTTTTGCTTTAGTTTTAGTGTTACGGGAGCAGCGAGGCTAATGCAGCCAACAAGCAGTGGAAGTTTATACTCCACCAATTAGCACTATGTATAACAAGGACAACATTCAGGCTTTAAGACGTCCGATACTACCGCAGAGTATCGCGATATTTTGTGTGGCAATACTGTATCGATACACAGATGCCAAGCATCGATGTTTTATTACATAAATTGAAAGTTCACATAATAAAATATCGATATATGGATGCCAAGTATCAATGTTTTATCATATAAATTTAAAGTAAAGCTAATTTAAAGTAAAGCTTTTAAGAACAGCACTCAGGCTTTAAACGTCTGCTACTACCTTTTCAGTTGGGCAACAGACTTTAATCCATCATTTTCGTACCTGTTTATGCATAATTTGTGCATGTTTATATACAGTGTATCATGTAGGGATGGGAGATAAAATCGATACAGCAGAGTATCACAATATTTTGTGTGGCAATACTGTATCAATACACGGATGCCAAGTATTAATGTTTAAGTATACAAATCTAAAGTTGACACAATAAAATATCGATATATGGAAGTCAAATATCAATAGTTTATTATCTAAATTTAAAGCAAAGCTAATTTAAAGTAGAGTAAAGCTTTTAAGGCAGCACTATGTAAAACAAAGAAAATTCAGGCTTTAAAACGGCTGCTACTACCTTTTCAGTTGTGCAACATAGTCCGTCATGTAGGGATAGAGAGGGAAAAAAAATTGTGTGGCAATACTGTATGGCTACACAGATGCCAAGTATCAATATTTTATTATATAAATTTAAAGCTTTTATGACCGTGTGGGACAGTCTGTCTGCGTGACAATCGCATTTTTCTGCAATAAAAATGATTCAAGTGAGATAAACAGACTGAAAATGTTCTCTCAGATAAAATACAGCAACGTTTTCCTTTAGAAACAAAATTTGGAAAAAAAAGGTAATAATTCACAATATATTGCAATATATTTAATCACAGTATCCAGCATATCGCAATATCTTTAAAATCACAGTAATATTGTATCGTGATATCGTATCGTGGGGCCTTTGGTGATTCCCACCCCTACGGTGAGAAAACACAATCATTTAAGTCTATCAGTCATTACTTAAAGGGCCCATTTCTAACTTATTCCTTCGGTTTTATTTTCCCCCATGAGGTCCACTCATAACGTTTGTGTGGTCATAATTCATTTTTTTACTTTTTGTAACTTCAGTGTGAGTGGGCGGGGCTACACTGCTATAGACTGAATAGGTAGAAACGGAAAATATGTAAATGTGTTTGTCTTCTGTGACTTCACAAAAACAATTCATTCAAAATGGGGTTGTTTTGGCAGCCTAGTTTCCAAACACATGTGGACTGTATGGACTGGGAATTGAACAATATCCTTTTGATTCTGAAACGTAAACATTGCTCACATACGGCTGGGCAATGCAACAGTATTTAGCATTATAGTGATGAATTACATCACAAAATGTCACAATATGCTTCTCGTGGATGCCGTCAGTGCTTCAATAACCCTTCCCAACTGCATGTTTGACTGCAAAGACAGCAGAATTAGTCCTGTTTAAATGGACTTATTGCAGCTCAGTGTGTGAAATACTGAATATAAATTGATATCATTTTTTAAAATATGCACTACTTTATTGTTTCCAATTTGTAAGATGTCAGGTAAAATGACCTTTATGCTCATACGCTACATCAAAATAAGTGAAGCATTTGGATTTCCATGATATGAGCCCTTTAACCACTCGTTACAGTTTGGAGCAACGGTGATAATTTAAGGTATGATGCTAATCGGTGGGGTATAGGCCTTTATTATGTGTTAGCTACATTAGCCGCGGAGCGCCACAAACCTCAGACACTAACCATCGTTAAGAACATCAACAAGATCAGAGATGTTCAGACTAAAGCAGACCTGAAGAAACTCATCCACGCCTTTATTTTCAGGAGGATTGATCACTGTAATGGTCGCCTAACTGGACTCCAAAAAAAGACCATCAAACAGCTTCAGCTGAGTCTCACTAGGAGTAAAAGAAGGACCAACCCCCCCTTACATACATACTATGCTGTCCTAAAACAACCCCAACATAGAAATTACATGTCTTATCTTCCCCCTTAGGTCCACTTACAATATCTGTGTGGTCTTATGAACCGATCAAAACAAATCATAATTAATTCAGCCAGTGTAAATCCTTACACTGGCTACCAGTCTGTTCCAGAATAGACTTTAAGGTGCTGTTACTGCTCTATAAATGTCTTAATGGTGCAGGAGCAGCGTATTTATCTGATCTGCTGCAGCGATATGAGCCGAGCAGAACTCTCAGATCATTAGGAACTGGTCAGTCAGTCCTGCTGAAGGTGAAGACTAAACATGGAGAAGCAGCGTTTAGATACTATGCTGCTCTTAAATGAACCCAGTGGACCCGACGCGGGACACTTTAAAATCCAGGCTCAAAACGTTCCTTTCAGCTCAGTTTAAACACTGTTAGTGTTTCTGTCCTCTTCGCCTCTGTTACGACACTTTATCCTTTTTTTTAATTTTTAATTTCTAATTAGATTTTTATTTTAATGATTTCCTCTTTTAAATCCATTGTTTTCATCATGTTTTTAATTTATATTCTCCTTCACTCTTTAAACGACTCTATTTTCTCACCGTGAAGCACTTTGACTGACAGCAGTGTATGAAAGGTGCTGTATAAATAAACTTGCCTTAGTAAAGGTAGCAAAGCTGTATATCTGAATTGTGGCCAAACTATCGCTTTAACTAACGGTTTCTTCAGAAACTTACCAGCTGAAACTCTCTGCGCCGGTCGTAGGCGTGCTGGATGCCACTGTCCGCCCACAGCGAGCGGATGGAGGGCAGGTACTGCACAAACACCTTCGTCTCCACCGTGCCCTGCAACACTTTGGAAGAGCGCGTGTCGAAGGCCATGACGGTCTCTCCATGCTCCTGGTTAGACGGGTCGCCCCACGGGATGTGCAATTTCTCTCGCGCGTCCACCAGAACTCGAACACCTGTGAGGACACGGCAAATTCAGACTCAACTGGACTGGAATTCAATAAAACATGCCACCCGCTCCTGCCACACCCACACGGCAAATAAAGTGGTCTTAGGAAACTACAGCTTCATTTACATCACAGTAATTAAAATATGACATTTACATTATATGTCAGAGATACGACGCATACATACTATGCTGTCCTAAAACAACCCCAACATAGAAATTACATGTCTTATTCTCCCCCTTAGGTCCACTTACAGTATCTGTGTGCTCTTATGAACCAATCAAAACAATCATAATTAATTTTTACACAACCATTTTCCAACTTTATCTCATATTAATTAACCCAATACACAGATTATTTCTGTTACTGTGCCTTCAAGTCTGATATGTAAATGAGCCTTGTTCTAATTGGCTGCTCTGTATTGGGCCTCACTCAAAAGCAGCCTAAGCTGAAGCACTCGAGTAGGCGGGGCCAAGCTGCTGTAGGCTCAGTAGTTGGATATATGTGAATGTGTTTGTTTTTGTGACATCACAAAAACATATATGGACTGTATGTGCTGGGGAGCAAAACTTTAGCAATGTTTATATAGGCAACTACATGAGTGAATGAGTTTGTTCAATGAGGAAGGTTCAGGATCAGTTTTCCATGATATGGGTTCTTTAAATAGGGCATTTTTCTGCTAATTTACTGTTGGCTGAATTTAACATACTGAAAAAATAACACAAAATACAATGCACCATCGCTTTTTGTTATTATAATAAAAACAACAATAAGAATATTCTTCTTCCATTTGCTTCTGGTAAAGCATATTGAGCTCTTCAAACAGAATATTTAAAAAACATTCTTATTGTTCATTTGATTATAATAATAATATAATAATAATAATAATAATAATAATGATAATAATAATAACAACAGCAATAAAAGGTTTAACTTATGTAAAGCCTCTCTCAAACCCAAGGATGCTTTACACAAGTTTCAGAAGTACCAGCTATTATTATTATTATTATTATTATAAAATCAGCAATAGGAATGTTTTTTCTTCCATTTGCTTAGGGTGAAGTGTCCTGAGCTTTTCTAATTGTCATAGAATACTCAAGAATTTTAAAAAAATATTAATATTGTTTTATTATTATTATTATTAATAATAATAATAATAATAATAATAATAAAAATAAATTATTATTACTATTATTATTATTATTATTTTAACAACAACAACAACAACAACAGCAGTAGCAATATAAGGTTTAAGTTATGTAAAGCCTTTCTTAAACCCAGGGATGCTCTACACAAGTTACAAAAGTACAAGCTGTTATTATTTCTATATTACTAATATTATTATTCTTATTCTTCTTCTTCTTATTATTATTATTATTATTATTATTATTATTATCATCATCATCATCATTATTATCATCATCATCATTATTAAATTAGCAATAAGATTTTTTTTTCTTCCATTTTCTTAGGGTAAAGTGTCCTGGGCTTTTCTAATTGTCATAGAATACTTGAGACAATATTTAAAAAAAATATTCATATAGTTGTTTTAATAATATTAATAATAATAATAACAACAACAACAACAACAAAACAACGGCAGCAGCTATATAAGGTTTAAGTTATGTAAAGCCTTTCTTAAACCCTAAGATGCCTTACACAAGTTACAAAAGTACCAGCTGTTATTATTATTATTATTATTATTATTTTAATAAAATCGGCAATAAGAATATTTTTTTCTCCCATTTGCTTAGGCTGAAGTGTCCTAAGCTTGTTCGTCATAGAATATTCGAGACAATATTTGAAAAAATATTCTTACTGATGATTTAATAACAACAACAACAACAACAACAACAACAACAACAATAATAATAATAATAATAATAATAACAACAAAAACAACAGCAGCAATATAAGGTTTAAGTCATGTAAAGCCTCATTTAAACCCTGGGACGCCTTACACAAGTTACAAGAGTACCAGCTGTTATATTTAGATGCTATTATTATTATTACTATTATTAGTGGTAGTAGTAGTATTATAAAATCAACAATAAGAATTCGTCATTTTGCTTGGGGTGACGTGTACTGAGCCTTTCTCATTGTTATAGAATATTCAAGACAATATATAATGGAATATGTAGAGCGAATAATGACTGACAGCTGCTGACCTGTTTGGCTGCATTAAGAACAGTAACGCGCACCAACAGCTGGAGCTTCTCCAGACAAAGGCTGCTGCACCTGACCACACCCATACTGAAAACCACACTGTCTGCCTTCTGCAGCTACCACACACGGATCTGTCTGACAAATAACCCGCCATCACACCCCATCCGCTTCCTCCCTGCTTCCCTGAAACAAATGGGAAATTACTGGAGCTGTTTTTTATTTGTTAAAACAGAAACAAAAACGACAGTTCAGCTCAGCTCAGCTCAGTTCCACACGCCAGCAGCTCTCTGACCCACTACTCTGAATAACGGTGAAGCAGGCTTTGGTTAAGATGAGGTCACAGTGGCCTTTAGCTCTTCTGAGGTTTAATTAACGAGGTCTCACGATCAGAAACCCAAACGATGATGTGCTCTCGCTGCTCCACCACACGCTCGTTAGTTATATTAACGCTAATGGGCCAAACGCTCTCAGACGGATCCGACACCTCGTCTGCCCTCCTGTTCTAATGCTGGCGGCCACAAAACAGGTCAGACCAGTTTCCGCTGCAGTCCCACACATGCAAACATAATGCATGGGTAGTAAGATCTCACACTGAATCTGTAACAAAATATCCCTAGCCTTAATATTAACCACATAAAGGAGAACTCCACCGATTTTCCAAAATTTCTGCATAATTAACTGGTTCAGATGTAAACAGAGTCATTCAGCGTGGATTAAGTTCTAGAGGAAACTTACTGAGTCAGAATTGTTCACAGTGGTGGTGATAGGAACCAGACGTCCACCTCTAAAAGCTCCCTCACAGAAAGTTCCTACATGAAATGGTTATGAATTCACTGCCTGATGACTGAGACACTGTTTTCGATAGTTTGGAGAAGATTTGGCCTTAAACTCCATTCATAGTCCCCAAAGAAAACTTATTATTTCAGATTTCCCACTATTTTCCATCATCAACATCCCATATAAGCTCAGAAGACTCGTGTAGGTTCACTGGTGGTTCTGGATAGTAAATAAAATGTCTATATTTGTGTTGTAGTCATGGCGACCCCTGGTTCCTATCACCACCACTGTAAAGACATATGAACCATTTCACACCAAACCACTCTGAATCACTCTGATTACACCTCAAACACTCAATTATCCAGAAACTTTGAAAAAGCAGTGTAATTTCCCTTTAAACTTCAGGCTTATTATTGGTTTATTTTCCAGCAGTTACTGTGCAGGTATGAGCAATAATAAATTAATAACTAATTAGCCATTAATTAGCATTATGTCATTCATTTAGGCCAATTCATTAATAATTAAAAACAATCCAGCACAATAAAGAAAAAAAACACCATCTCTTTAAGGGGTTAAAGAAAACTAAGCCTCGAAAAAATAAAGCTTGTCACTTTTTTTTAATTAAAAACCTACAATAATGAAACCTGAAGCACTAGAAAAGCACAGTAATAAAGGTTTGCATACATACGCACACCTGCCCTTCCTCATTTCCATTCCCAGGTGCTACCTGTGCAGGTAAGAGAGCCAGTCTGCATGCCTTGGACATCACTGTTAATCATTTAACAATTCAGTTTAACTGTCACGTAAAATATCCATCACAAGCCTGATATATGGGAAAGAAGAAGCCATAAACAATGTGAAATATAATAGTCATAATAATAGCATTAGCTTTGTTGTACCGTATTATTTAGTAAAATTAGGATGTTTATTTAAACAGTAAGCGCACTCCTTTCCTCACTGTTTGCCCTGAAGCCTCATAACTGAAAGTAAACAGAACTGTCCTATAAAGACATACGACATCCATGAAGCTCAGTTTACACTGTTACAGCTGCTTCCTCTCAGGGGCGTTTCTGATTCTTCAATTTACTTCTATAATCTTTTTCCTCCCTGGTGTAAATACATCGCTCCTCTATCGTACTACTGCACTGCAATGATAAGTAAATTAGTCAGTCATAACTCTGATTACAGAAAGGGAAAGTACAGCTTATTCAAAAATAAAACCACTCCATAATGTTCCCATAATCCAGTACAGGCTACAGGCCTCAACAGGAGACAGTGAGCAGAGAAGGTGACATCACTCATCATGTCACTAAAGCTATACTATATTCAATCCAGACCACAAATCCATAATGGACAACGTGGCTTGAAATTTACACCGAAAAGGGGGTCAATCTGAAGATAAACGGACAAATTATAACCGTCCGTTTTCACCGTTACATTCACACAGTCACTCTGAGAGACTGTAATACACTACAGGAAGTGTAGGGGGCGATATGGCTTCTACTGCTTCATTTAAAAAGCTCTATAATGTTCATATGATCCACACAGTCACTCTGACAGACTGTAATACACTACAGGAAGTGTAGGGGGCGATATGGCTTCTACTGTTTCATTTAAAAAGCTCTATAATGTTCATATGATCCACACAGTCACTCTGACAGACTGTAATACACTACAGGAATCAATCTTTATCAGGGAGAGCAATAAGCAAATGAGGGACTGCAAACAGAGCTTGAAACTACTTCAGTGAATTAGCCTAGCAAGAAGTCTTTGATGTGTTCTAGCCGTGATTCCTTTTCCCCCTCAGCTGTGGATCCTGTGTGTACAAGCCTGCATGCCCTCGGGAGAATTCCCAATACGCAGGAAACTTCCAGAGAAGACCTGGTCCAAATGCAAAACCTCCAGCTTTACCAGGAGCGCAGTCTGAGGACAGGTTTCTGCATGTTTTCTCCACGCGCTCCGGCTTGGCAGCGGCCAAAAATGTAATCACAATAAATGTATAATCATTCAATACTGAGATTTATCAATAATCCCAATGCTAGGGGTGGGAAGCTCTAGGCACCTCA